AAACGTGACAGGCTTTTTATCTCCCCCACCCTCCTTCTTCTCCTCCCTTAGGTCCGTGCCTTCCACCACGCCTTCAGCACCAACGACTGCTCGCGGAACGTCTACATCAAGAAGAACGGCTTCACGTTGCACCGCAACCCCATCGCCCAGAGCACCGACGGGGCACGGACGAAGATTGGCTTCAGCGAGGGCCGCCACGCCTGGGAGGTGTGGTGGGAAGGCCCGCTGGGCACCGTGGCCGTCATCGGCATCGCCACGAAGCGGGCGGCCATGCAGTGCCAGGGTTACGTGGCCCTGTTGGGGAGCGATGACCAGAGTTGGGGCTGGAACCTGGTGGACAATAACTTGCTGCATAACGGAGAGGTGAATGGCAGTTTCCCCCAGTGCAATAACGCGCCCAAATACCAGGTGAGCAGGGCTTGGTGTGGGCTGGAAGCTCTGCTGTGTCTGGCAGCAGCTGCCTGTCAAGAACCTCCTCCCTCGTGTGTCCTGGCTGTCTGCTGAATTTGTCCTAAATGCCCACTTAAGGGTCTCTTTGCCTTCTCTGCAGAAGGCAAATGATTCCGCCTTGTGAGGCCTTTCCCCCTTCATTTACTTCTTCTTCAGGCTACACCTGTGTATGGTGTTCAGTGCACCTGCCCCTCAGTTGTTTCCGCGCTTTCATCTAAAAGATGGAGTGCAAAGTGTGTACTGTGGGTGTCTGTTTAGACACCATGTTGCTTTTTGACATAAAAGCCAAAAAGGCTGTTGTAGCCTTCTGAACTAATGACTTGCCCCACAGCAAGGTGAATGTCTGTGGTATTTTACCTCTTTGTTGTATGGCAGTGTGAGCTGAGGTCCGTGCTTAGGTAAGAGTCTTCCTGCAAAAACCTGCAGCAGTGCTGAGTGCTGCTTGTTTGCTCACTGGCAGCGTTCCCATACGTGACATCCCTTGGCTGGGATGCAATGTTCAGATAATCTCAGGTTATTAAAGAGCAAGTGCCATTCCACCTTTTTGTCCCTATAGAGGTGTTTATCTTTGTTCTTCTGGCTGCTCACACAACTACATTTTGACTGCTGGATTTCCTCATGTTACAAGTTAAGCTGTATGCATTCTGATTTCCACCTGAGAATGCTGTGGCTTTGTACAAGTATTGGCTTATGTTTCAATTGTGGGTGAAGAACTTGTATCTGATATTCCTAAATTTTACGTAAAAGTTCGCTGCCAAGTGCTTAATTCTGTCTGAAGGTTATACCTGCCGGTTTTGGGAATAATACCTAAAATTAGGGTAATTAAAGAGATTTAGTTCCCTAGCATGTAAATTGGGTCGGTGCTTTCCAGACCCAATCCTTTGCAGTCGCTTTCTGCTGGCCTTCTCTAGGCCTTTCTGCAGCAACAGGGTGACGAAAGGTTTTGAAGCCAAGAGTCCCCAGCTCGTGTGGGGACTCAAGGGTGAATGCAATCGCTGCTTTCTCTGTAAAAAATTGAGGAGAGCTCAAATCAGTGATCCTTTGGAGTATTTTGTGTTTAGTAAGACATTTACAGTGATCTGCTCATAGAAAATGTACTTAAAGGAAACACATGTGTTTCTTAGCGTTGGTTAGAAGAAAAAAATGTATTGGCTGGAAGAAAACCCAGCATTGGGGCTGGCTGGTGAAGAATCAGAAGTTTGTGCAGCGTCCTGCTGTGCTTGCTGCTGGTGTCCGGGACTTCTAGTTATGTCTAAAGTAACATGTACTAGATAAACGCAGGGAGCTCCGTGCGTGTCTAGATCCGAGTCTCTTGCTGTGTTCGGTGTTGGTATGTGTATATATGTATTAGGTTTTTCACACTTACTTTGCCTAAGCTTTGCACTGGAATTTCCTTCTGCCTCGGTGAGGGAATACCTCTGTCAGCAACAGCACCTGCACAGTTAGTGTATTCTGGTGTATTTGGTATGTGGCATTTACTTTTCTAAAACAAGTTCAGTGTCTTTAAAATTGCTCTTCACAGAGCAATTGCTGCTCAGTGATAGCAGCAGCTAAATACAGAGTTCAGGTAATTTGGAGGCCATTACGAAGTTTCTAAAACGGCAGTATTCTGAAGCGCGTGGTGTGAAGTATGCTCACTCTTGGTGCTCTCGCCAAGTTCCTATGGGAAGGGTTACAGTTATTATTGTGTAGGTGTTTAGATACGGGCTGCCCACTGGGATCCTAGTGCATTTGAGCGAAATTGAGAAATTCCCATCATAAAAGTAACGCAATCATGAGAAACAGGAAAGCCTTGCTTTAAAATTAACCTGCTGCATTATATGTGGGCTATGCTTTATTTTTGTGTCACCATTTGAATCTGCTGACTCTTTCTATGTATTGATTTTTTTTTTTTTTTTTTTTTTAATCCCCCCGCTCCTGTCTCTGTTTCCAGATAGGTGAAAGGATTCGAGTTATCCTGGACATGGAAGACAAAACATTAGCGTTTGAGAGGGGCTATGAGTTCTTGGGAGTTGCCTTCAGAGGACTGCCAAAAGTTTGCCTGTATCCAGCAGTGTCTGCTGTGTATGGGAACACAGAAGTGACTTTGGTCTACCTGGGAAAACCTCTGGATGGATGACGTGGATTGTTTCGTTGGGACATCAAGATGTGGATGATTGGGAGGAGAAATCTGCATGTTGGTTAGAGGGAAACGTGTATTAGAGGGAAAACAAAAAAGTCTGGGTGTGTGCCCAAGAACCATCGAGGGAATCACACGGAGCTTGGAAACGGAGGACCAGCCATACTTCAGGAATTGTGTTACATTTCCTCTTTCTACCAGGCCTGAAAAATCCTCAGGGTTGCAGTTGGTTGAGTGGGAAGCTGACACATGCATGTTGCAACAGATTTCATTGCTAAGATGGTGGTGTGTGACCTCAAATATTTAAGAAAGGATCTGATATGAAACTGCTTGAGGAAATTAACCTGAGATTTGTAAGTAGCGTGTTTTGTGAAAGACTCCCATTTTAAAACTGCTTGTTCCTTCCCTTCCCTCCTTTGGGCCAACGTGAGTACCGGAGGAGAGTGAGTCTGGCTGGGTTTTATTTACAATTTTTAACATATACTGAGAAGGATGGTCTGTCTGGACTGCCCTTCTCTAGTATAACGATACAAAATGTGTGCAGCTATTTTTAAGTGTATTTTAAGGGTTGTATATATAGAACACACTGAAAAGAACAGTTAAAAGAAAGGGTTTGCTTTATTCTAACTGGGACGTAATTTCTTAAAAGGGAAAAAAAAAAACAACCCACTACGTGGCATCAGAAAATATACCTCAGACAGGTATATAACACTCATGTAAGTGTACTTCTTCTGTTGTATTGTAAAGCATTTTGGGATGCTCTTGTGGAGTACGGTGCTACATTGGGTCATTTTCTGTGAAAGTTTCCATAGCTTTAGCAACAGTTTTGTTCTCTGTAAGAAACACAAAACGCTTTCCCCACGAGTTTCCTTTTGGCAAAATTTGCGATCCCCTTTAGGAAAGGAAGCTGCAAGACAGCGGTGAGCTTATCTTCCTTTTGACATCAAAAATAGTAATGTTTAAAAGCATTCTTACACTTTCTAATCACTGTTGTGAAACGTTTCAAACTAATGAGGAAGGAGCATTCAGTTTCTGAATTCAGGCATTGCTTGAACGGCTTCATAAGGCTTTAAGGCTTGGCTGAACCTTTCTTTAATTAAATAAAATCCCCCAGTACCCAAATATTTACCTGCCCATTTTCAGTCAGGACTAGTAAAACTCTCACCGACCCTTTGATGGGGATTCTGGATGAGGTTCGATGTTTGGGCTTTTTTAAAAAGCATGTACAAACCCCTCTGGTGTGTCGATGTGCTGGCATATGCATGTCGCGGCGGCTATGAAGTTGAGGGGTGTAGCAAGGAGGGACTTTCTGGTGAAACAGCTTTCCCCTGAGGTTGAAAGGTCCGTAGGGAGCCCCAGATCCCCTCATTTCATAGGGCATTAAAATCTGTAAGCCTTGCGGCTAGCTTTTGACTCTCATTTCTTGTCGGTTGGTCTTACCCAGAGCTGTCTGAGTTGGGCATGCTTTTCAGAGAGGGAGAAGGAAATGTTTAATGCAACCTCTTTTTGCTTTATTTGCGCTAGAGAATGTGAATTGCTTAATATCGGACACTGGCAATTCTCTGAGCACGGAAGAGATGGGAATTCCTCTTAGGCTGTTGCTTGTTCCTCCCCCCATTACTCGGGTAATGCAAGGCCAGTAGTGCAAGCAGGTGAGTGAGGCTCCAGGCCTGCTGCTGACGAGCTAACCTTGGAGTGCTTTTTACCTAGTAGATAACCAAGTTCTGCACTGGAACAGAGTATGTACATCATTACCATTTAAAAGGATTTAAAAGTATTTATTTGTTTTGTGTGTTGTTTATTGCTTAAAGGCAATATCGAGGTCTGTCCTCTTGGCTGCGTTGAAGAAACAAAAAACGCAGTGAGAAATGAAGACGGTAACTGAATAAATGATGCGAGATGGGCACATGAGTACCTTTTGGAAAAAAGAAATCTGTTACAAGCTTTGATTGTACTAGACTGTAAAGTATGTATCTGCATAGCAGAACCGTGGGGCGTGAAGTAGGGTAAGAAGGGAAACAAAACCCTGTCCAATTTCAGAAAATAAAATTGTCCCCAAGATGAATGTATTCTAAGAGCAGTCCTGAAAGATGTGACCTTTGCGCTTCTTCACGAATCCAATTAGATGCAAGTAAACCCTGAGAACTTCCGAGGAGTTTTAGTCACAAATTAAGATTGATTTCCATTCTTCAGACTGCGTCTTACCCTATAAATAATTTCCCTCTAAATTAGAAATGCTGAAAGTTGAACATTCCTTAAGGGTGGGTTTGGGGGGGACTCACTTATGTACGATTATAACTTATTCCTGGAGACCAATGCTGGCTGTACAAAATATTAAAATAAACTCTGCTATCATTCAGAAGGATATATTGGTGTGGATTGTTCTAACGGCATCCGTGGTGTGGTGGTAGGAAAAATGGTGTAGCGGTTTGGTGCACGAAGAAGACGGAGGTGTTGGGACTGTGTGGTTTGCTGCGTGACTGCTTGAAAAGAGAGGATCTGATGAGAGGTTAACGAGGACTTGAAAACTCGGTGGTCTAAAGACTCTGCTTGGGGAATTGCATCCTCTGAAACAGGGATGCTCGCACGGGGCGGTGTAGGAAAAAGTCTTCCTGACCGCTGGAGGTCTCTTGGCTCGAATTAAGGTGTCGTGCTCACTGCTGTACCGAGGTGCCTCCTTCCCAGGTCAGCTTCTTGGCTTCTCTCCGTTTCTTTAGCTTTCCCTGTGGAAGTTCAATATTTTGTGGTGCTTTTAGGAAGAAGCAGGCGATTTTTAGGAAGAAGGAGGAGACTCTTGTGGTTGTGAGCTTCGAGACACTTTCCAAACTCTCTGCATCAAGAATTTGCTTTTAAGCAGTGCACTTTTGGCTGATGTCTCTGTGAGCTTCTTCAGGACTGAAAAGGTTGGTTGCTGGCTCACCAGAAATGTAGAATCACTTTTTCTAGCCTGAAGTACTTCAGCTAAACAGCAGTTTGAAGTATTTTCCCCACCCTGACTAGTGATTGAACTGCTTTGGTAGGGAAGAACATCAACTGTTCATAGCTCCCCTAACAGAAACTGGTCAAACTTGCAGGTCTTGACTTCAGAATCCTGCAGGACATCCAGAGTTTTTTGATAAGCAAGTATTTTTGTCTACTATTTAATTAAAACTCAGAATTTCTTGTGATTTAAGTGTGCTGTGAAATCTGTTGGGAGCTTAACAGTTGGTCATCTGATCTGGTCACGTTTCTATGTCTGAGAAAGCGACAAGCTCAATATGGCCACTTGTTTCGGGGCAGAGTCTGCTCTTGGCTTTGGTGGTGGCTTCTGTTGGCCTGAAGTCAAGTTGCCCGACTACTTCTTCTGTAAGAGGGCAGAGGTGTTGCTGGAACAAACTAATAAATCAAGCTGGCATAGGAAACTCACCCTGGTAGGGATATTTTCTTGAAAACTTGTGGTTTTTTTTTCCCCCCCTTTAAAACGCAGTGGTGAGTGTGCATTTTTGGAACTCCTGCGTGTGCCTTCTACTAACAAACGCCATTTGGTTTTGTAACTTTTGGCCGTATTTCAGGTGACACAACTAGCCAGGAGCAGATGGCCTTCATCCCGTGGGCTGAACTTCTGCTGCCTCGGATGTGGCTGTGTTCTTCTCTGCCTGCCTCCGATTCCGATAGCAAGCTGGAACATAATTAGCTTTTCTCTCCACTTATCCATGATCTACATTTTTAAATTTCCTTCATGCGCGGGTGTGTATTCCAGATGGCTCCCTCTTTTTTTTTTTTTTTTTTTCTCTCTCCCGTTTTCACTGAGATGATGACAGCAGTGATGAATTAAAATAACACTTGGCCTGATAATAGTTTGATCATACAAAACTTATTTTCTCTAAGTATTTGAGAGGTAACCAGCTCTCAGTGATTCCTGAACCTGTGTATTTCAATACTGATATTTCAGTTCTAGCTAGATCTTTATGCGTTATAAATAGCTTTGGACGCTGGCAGGAGCACAGCTCTAAGTGCTATATGTGCTGCCATTCTCTGAAACAGTGCCGGTTCTCGCACAATACAGATAATTTGGTGAAATCTGTAGCCAGAAAACGTCATTATTAAAACCTGCTCTAGGATCCTTTCTACATTTACACAAAAGTTTGTAAATGGTTAGGAGTGTGCCGTGTTTGATTTCTGGGATAGTAGTCCACTTCATACTACGGTATCATTCGGTTGAAAGGAAAATGAATTAAGTGATAAATGAATACAGAAGGCTTTTCCTGCAGTGAAGCTGAACCTGCTAATTTATACTTTAAGCAGCTTTTTTCATACCGCTGTATGATGCTGTGCGTGTTGTGTGACTTCCGAATGAATTCTGACACCTCCCCACGAGAGGGCAAAGTTAACAACGCTGTGAGAGCCTCGACTTTGCATTTCCTCGGTGTGGTGCAAAATAAATGTTTAATGTGGAACCTTCTCCCGTAGCATTTGCTTCCTGTCCACTTCAAAAGCCAAAGCAAACTTAAAAAAAAAAACCTCAACAAAGCAGGTGATCGTTGAGAAGTGGATAATGGACATAGAATTCTTAAAATATGCTTCTTCATTTGAACCCTTGATCCTGAAATTTGGCTGAGCAAATCTTTGCGTTTCAGAAATTCATTTTTAATGACAGCAAACTGAGCTGAGACTCCAAGATCACTCTGAAAGATAGAAAGGGATTTGAGGGGCTCAAACAAAATGTCACTGTTGCTCTTCAAAGTCTACTTTTCCCCAGACTTGCTTTTCTTCCTCTCAGGCATTTATGGCCAGGAAATAGTGATATCATGAAAAGATTATTTAAAAAAATAAAATAAAATCTGTTGCAGTTGGAAAAAACCTAAAATCGTTGAAAAGGGATTTTAAAATAAAACTTGTTATATATTACAAGTGGTGTTTAGTCTTCTGCAATTTTACCAGCTCAAGAACCAAGGATGTCTTTTTCCTTCCATGTGAGCTAGCTAGAGTTGTTTCGTGTTTGCTTGATTTATTTTGCCTTTTTAATCCATATGGTTCTACCTATGTTAAAAGCTACATACTTACCTGCAGGCAACATTTGAATGAGGAAAAGTATGAAGGTATAACCTTCCCCGTTCTTGTCTTTTGTGTAGTGTCTGATCTTCTTGTGAGCTCCCAGGTTCTGCAGCTTAAACCTTCGGTGGTTTTATCCAGAAAGAGCAGGAGCGTTGCCGTGCGTGTAAATGAGTGACCACCCTGGGACAGGTGACCTTTATGTATCTGCAGTGCTTTATTGCTCTGGATGGGCACTGTAACCCCTCTATGTTTTGTTAAAGTAGTTTTGTTGGGTTTTTTTTTTTTGAATTTGAATTGTCCTTTTTTGAACTTCTGATTTCAGGTTGTGAACGTGCTCTCATTTGCACGGTGCAGTCTGTGCATCTTTAGAGGCACGCTCCCAGAGCCACGGACAGATGTGAAAACAGCTGTTTTACAACTGCGTGTAGGCTACAGCTACAAAATGCCATTTTGCAAACATTCAAGCTC